AAATAAATAAATAAATAAAGTATATATGAGTTGTATAGAAACATTTGAAGAATAATGAAAGAAGGAAAAAAAAAAAAGAAAAAGCAAAAAAGAAAGAAGAACTGTTAAAAATAAGGACAAATAATAATAAGTGATTATGAGTCAGGTATAGCAAATGAAATACCACAGAAAGGTTTATAATCCTTCATGTTCTTATTAACAAAACTACCGCATTCAAACAACTGCAATGATGATAATCACGATCAACAACAGCATTTTCTTTTTTTTTTTCTTTTTTAAATACCCATTTTGGGTCTCTCTCTCTCTCTCTCTCTCTCTCTCTCTGTTTCTCTCACTCTTCGCATGTATTCAATGAATGTAAATGTGCCTGCAGGTGTATACATATATTAGACACAAACAACACCCAAGGAATGCCAAAATTTTCTTTTTCTTTATTTATTTCCTTCTTTTTTGTGTATGCATATCGTTTCCTGTTTGTAAACAAACAGTATATATGTGTATATACATTTATATATATATATATATATATATATATATATATATATATATATATTTCCTTCTTTTTTTCTGTATTCTTTACTTTCTTTAATTACAGTCTTTCTCTACTCTCCTTAATTACAGTTTTTCTTTTTTTTTTCTTTTTCGGTTTCCTTGTTTCTCCCTTCATTACTCTGCAAATCGCCTAATTATCAATGTAATCCATATATATATATATATATATAGTGAAGAGTGAAAAATAAATAAAAGAAAAAAACCAACAACAAGAGGAGCAATCCCTTTTTTCATTCTCTTTCATTATACAATAAAGAACAGTAAAAAACAAAAACAAAAACAAAACAAAATGAAAAATAAGAAGATCACAGAGAATATACACTACTCACACCTTTATAGTTCCCATCACATTGTGTGTGTGTGTGTTTGAACCTTATATGCACATTACCCCTAAACGCACAGGAGTGAGGGCTTTGACGTTCTTTTCCAATAGAAAACCGTCCATTATATAAATATAAAGAAAATACACACAGGAACAAAAAGAGTAAGAAGGTCTACAGTTGAATCATGCTCCAACTCTTCCTATTATTATTATTATTATTATTATTATTATTATTTTTTTTTTTTTTACACACACTCCAATATTGTTGGTAGTCACATGTGCGTGTGTAAGTATGTATGTATGTGTTTGTTTTCGTTTTTTTTTTTCTTTTCTTTCCTTTTCTCTCTATTCTTTTCTTTCTCTGGTGTTGTGAGGCTAATTTCACAGCAAAAAGAGAATATACACAGTCAAATGTATGACTCGTACAACAATTATTATTATTATTATCATCATTATTATTTTTATGTTGCCTCGTTCACCTATGCTGTTTTTTTATTTAATACCTTTATTCTTTTTTTTCTTTTTTTCTTTTTCCTTTTCGCTTTCCTTTTTAGGCTTTTTCATCAATGTTCATTCTCCAACCTTATCCTTCACATCAGAGTGGGAAGAATCCTGCCCTTCTCCTCTTTCTCCCTGTTTTTCTTGCTGTTCCTCTTGTTGTTGTTGTTGCTGTGGTGATGGGGATGGGGATGGTTCTCTCACATTTACGTTTTCTTCTACTTCTCCTTCTTCTCCCTGTTCCTGCAGGGATAATAATGATGATGGGGGAGGAAGTGGGATAATAAGACTACTCTCAATTTCTCTTCGCTCACTACTTCCCACACGTAAACCCTCCACATCCTCCACTTCAAATGAATCACTAAGAAGAGATTGCATGGCATGTATACTACTTTGTTGAGATGAGTGTCTATGCATGGAACTATTGAGCCACGAGCGCAGCATGTCTAATCCAAAGTTATGTTGATTGGGAAAAGACATCATTTGGGCCGCATCTGCCCCAATCTCTAAACGGAAATTCGCTTCTTCTTCTTCTCTGTTGATACTACTATCAGTACTAGTGCTACTGCTTCTACTATTACGACGACAAGTACTACCATTCGTACTACAGCTCATATGATTCCCATGACTATTGTAATTCGTACGACTGCGGCTTTCAGTAAGACTACTTCGAACACCGCCTGTTTGTTGATCTGCCATTGCAGAGACCTCTGAGTTTGCATATCGTGATGGTATAATAGACGGCATTGGCAATGGATGCGCTGGAGGTGTTGGTGGTATTTCTACTGGTGAAGTTGGGGCGGTGTTCTCCACCACGACTACATACGGAACCCCACGCTGAGCAGCAACAGCAGCAGCAGCAGTTGTTGTTGTAATTGTTGTTGTTGCTTGTGTATTTGTATTTTGAGTAATAATGGGAGTTGTTCTTGATGCTGCCATAGTAGTAGTAGTAGTAGTAGTAGTAGTAGGAATAGTAGTAGGAGTAGGAATAGTAGTATTATAGGACAATAAGGATGATCTTTGTGGTGCTGCTGTATATGCAGATGAACGTGGTGTTCCTGCTGTTAAAGTACTATTCATAGTATTCATAGTAGTAGCTCCAACACTACCCACAGCATTCAGTACAATACGATTAGTATAAGTATTATTATTATTACTATTACTATTATTATGATTAATATAATTATTATTACAAGAGGTACTACTACTACTATCAAATAACGGCATATCATCATCCTGTAGTACTGTTCGTGGGGATTCCGATTTCATACTACTTCCCATTCCCTTCATCTCCACAACTACAGAATCTCCATCCATTTCTATTTCATCATCATGATGATGATGATGATGATGTCGTCGTAGTCGTCCGGAGGATAATACCGATGGAGTTATTGTATCTAATACCTCTGGCATACGATATGCCTTTCGTAACAACACCAACATGGGCAGAAGTCCCACTACACTAAATGAAAGAACAGTGTAAATCCCATACTTTAAATCCCCCGTTAAATCCGCCACTACGCCACACACCATAGGGCCACTAAAGTTCCCTAAAAGATTATACATCATCTGTGAAAAGGCCGCTCCTGCAGGTCTTAACTGTTCAGGTACAGAAGCCACTACAGTTCCACTCCCAGGAGGAATAATGGCCCCACCACAAAAGAGAACAATAGAAATCACCAATAAAAACACATGTGTACTTGTTACAAATATACACATCACACTAAAGAAAGCCGCAGCTGTTCCCCACATACATGTAAATGTTGTCACTCGTCGTAAATTATGTTGATATCCACCAATACGATCAAGAAGAATACCACCCGTAATTACACCAAGCACAGGTGCCGTTACAACAGCTCCACCAAATCCCACCATAATTGTTTTCATAGATGCTTTAAATGGTTCATCACGAAGATATTGAGTAACAAAGTTTTGAAGTCCAGTAACAACAAAATAGAGAGAACACATTGCCAGCATACTACACATATATTCAGTACTATGAAAAAGAGGAACACAAGCTCTCCACATAAATAAAATGTTGGAATGTAAAATATTAAAAATACGTTCAGCAGCACGACGATGTGGAGGTAATGGTGACATGGCTTGTGAAGTAACGGTATCACATCTATTATTACTAGAATTAACGGTAACACGTCTATCAATGGAACGGGAATCTACACGAATAAGATAAGCTACAGCTGGTATAGTAATAATACACTTAATATAAAAAGCCCATTCCCAATTAACATTGGTATAGGAAGGTAGAAAAGCACCAATACAGTATCCAAGCATAATACCAAGTGGAACCCCTGCATTATGTGAAGCCATCCACATAGATTGACGATCACGTGGGGCAAAGGTATCTACCCATACAGGTGTATATACAATCACAAAGGATAATGTAATACCAATAAGAAACCGACAAAGTAGTGCACATCTATACTCTGTCAGTGTCGCAAAGAGAAACGTGAAGAGTGTGTGTAAAATAAGAGACCACACCAACACAGCTTTTGCACTATACCGTGAAAAAAGATTCCCCGACAATGGACAACCGAGAATATTACCTAAAAAAACACTTGAGCTAAGTGTTCCTTGATGTACAGTACTTAATCCCCACTCTTCAGCAATTCCATTCTCCGCACCAAGTGCCGCACTAAAAGCACCAGAATCAAAGGAACCAATAGTCTTGAGAACTGTAAATAAAATTAAATTACGGGTGAGAAGCTGAACATTAACAGGGAAATCAACATCAAGCGGATCATGTTGACTAGCATCAGCATCCGTTATCATTGGAGGGGAATCAACCTTATCTGGCACATCACGTACCTTTGTTACCATAAGAAGAAGCAAACACCACTCTCTTTTTTTTTCTTTCTCAATGTATCTATATGTGTAAATATGCAAATATAAGTATATATATATATATATATATATATACTTAGACCGATAGATACACGAGTATGTGGGTGTACCCAGAGAAGGTGGGGGGAGGAGGAGGAGGAAGGGTTGGTGGTTTAGAAACTTCGTTCTTTTTTTTAGTTTTCTGCGTTTCTTTCTAGCGAAGTAAAGAATAGATGGACAACAGCGTGGATGATGGTTCACCAATGAATTACAGTTTCAAAAATAACAATGACACTATGTATATGTATATATGTGTCTACATATATATACACACTAAAGATCTATCGCTGTATTATTTTACACGGAGAAATACAGCAGGGCAACGATAAATCTAATTCTTTTCGGTATGAATAAGACAAATATATATGTATATATATATATATATATATATATCCGTCGTTTCTACTGCTTCCACTGTTATCTTCTTCTTGTTCTTCTTCTTGTACTAATAGTAGTGGTTTCAGGTGTGTTTGTTTTGCTACTTCTTAGATAATAAAAGGTTATAATAAAAGAAAAAAAAAAAAAGAAAAAGCAAATAAGAATAAAATAAAAAGAAACTCATCCCTTGATTATCAAATCAGAGAATTTCATACAGAATGCATCATTTCGCAAACAACAATACGCATATAAATGTATGTATATATGTAAATATAATAATTACTGTTTCTGTATCTTTATCGTGTATGTGTGTATGCACTGCTCCCTCTTCACTAAGAGAGAGAAACAGAAACAAAGAGAAAGAGAAAGAAGCAAACCAAAAATAATCACACGGTGTGAATAACGATAGAGTTCACTTCTTATTTCTTTTTTTTTTTTTTAACTACTGCGCCATCTGTGTTCACGTGGGAGTCGTGTGTGTGGTGTGGGATCCACCGGCTGCTCACCGGGATCTGCCGCCTCTCGCTGGGCCCCAAGTCGATAGAACTTTGGTCCTTTAAAGATTGGACCTCCCTTCTTTTTCTCATATCTCCAATCAATATCCCCCGTAGTCTTATCCCGCACATGGAAGGCTCCATCCATAAAGTAATCCGTACTTCCATCCGCATCCAAATCATGTACAGTATTGTTTCCAAGTCCCCATTGAAAGTTTAACGCCACAGCATTTCCCTTTTGTAGAATTTGACGATCGGTAGCATTACCCGCAGCCATTTCACCAGCACCTTGTTTTGTATACTTTCGACCTAATACAAGATTCATTGGGAATGTACGGGCATACATGGGATCATATGTACGGGCAGCATCCAGACGAGCCTGATGTACTGTATGGAATGGATCTTCATATGTATCCGAATTAATGGCTTTCCATAATTCCTCTTTCTGTGTATGTGGAGAGAGTTGCCCTGTACTCTTATTAATATGATGACTTAATGCCGAGTTAGCTTGAGATGATGATGATGAAACTGTAGGTGCATTATCATTACCGGTGTTTCGCTTATCCCAGAGAGATACTTCTTGTCCTCCTTCTACAACATCATCATCATAAAAACCAAAAGCATTCACTGCACGTCCTGTAGAATTCTCTTCTTGCCGTTGTTGTTGAAGTAATAAATCCCTTCCTTCTCGTTCTTCTACATCATGTTTAAATTTCGCAATCATATCTAATAATTGTGTCTTTCGTTGTAATACCTCTTCTCGTTCCTTTACTTCATATTCTGCCTGTCGACGAGCATTGGCTTCAATTTGACGTTCTTTTAATGCCGCTCGCACTTCTGCACTTGTCATTCCACTTGCTCGTAATTCTGCGGCTTCCTGCAGTAATGCCCGTCTTTGTTCCTTCTCTACACGTGCCCGTTCTTCCTGCATGGCTTTATGTGCTTCCACCATTCGTTCACGTTCCTGTTCTAATTCCATTGCCGCTTTAAACCGCACCTGCGCCTGATGAATGCGTTCCACATGACTTCGTTGAAGTTCCGTTCGTCGTGATTCCTCCAGTCGTGTGTTTTGTTCTAATAATTGTTTATACACTTCCGCCGCATCATCTAATTTAGCCGCGTAGGCATCATCCTTCGCTGCCTGCAACTCCGCCCAGTGTTGTTGACCGGCCACACCATACTTCTCCTTCACGGCCCGTTCAATTTCCAACATACTCGGCCGCAGTTGATGATAGCGATTCACCTCCGCATCACTCACGGTGGGCATCTCTGCGTGTTCAGTGGAACTCTGCAGGAGACGTTTACCCGCAGGGCCGGCGAAGCGCAGTTCCCGCTTCGTATCATACACCCAACGCATATAATCACTCGGCTCTCCACGCAATGCGGCGGAGATCTCACGAGCGGCGGTCTCTTGTCGTGCGGTATCGCCACTACGATAATCCGCATCAATTTGCGTCCACACATCACGCAGCCAATCCAATCGCTCTTCCACTGCCGTTTGCATCTCACGTAATGTCGCTGCGGTGAATTTCGCTCCTGTGGATTTTAACTGACGTTTAATGGCATTCTGTACTTCGGCCTTTTGCATTTTTGCCGCCTCTGCATATCCCCGTTCAACACGTTGATCGAATGCCTCATATCGTTCCTTGCGTCGCTTCTCACTAATGTAGGCATCAAAGGCGTCATCTTCACCCGCCTGCCATCCTTGCATGGTCGCAAACTGTTCCGCCAGCCGCAGTCGTCCATTATTTATTCCACTTGTGAGTCGTAACAAGCGAGAATGACGCTGCATAGATATTATCTAAGAATACGTATATATATATATATATATATAT